AATTTCATGTTTCAACATATTTTGACAAAAATATATTGGAAAAACACTTTTAAAATTTCATTGCAATACCTTGAAAATGAGTTGCGCCATCTATGTCCCTTGAATCCCATTCCAATGCCAGATTTTTTTTTTCGATGGGTTCAGAAATGAATTGCGCCATCTACTACGTTCCTTAAATCGCATTCAAATCTTTCAAAATTTCAGTGCCACGCCTTAAAAATGAACCACTGAAGGTTTTAAAACTGATTGTGGACAGAATTTATGGATAGAAATTTCATTTTTCAACATATTTTGACAAACATATACTGGAAAAACACTTTTAAAATGTCATTGCCATACCTTGAAAATGAGTTGCTCCATCTATGTCCCTTGAATCCCATTCAAACGCCAGATTTTTTTTCGATGGGTTCAAAAATGAGACGCGCCATCTATGTCCCTTAAATTGCATTCAAATCTTTCAAAATTTCACTGCCACACCTTGAAAATGAACCACTGAAGGTTTTAAAACTGATTGTGGACAGAATTTACGGATAGAAATCTCATTTTTCAACTCCTTTTTATAGTTTGACAAACATATTTTGATTTTTTAAAATTGGGTTTTAAAGCGTCTCGACCTTTGCTGGCTCAAAACAACTTCTGTCATTTCGCCAAAATCAGGCTGGGAATGCCCACATAGATGGTGCAACTCCCCGGGAGTTGCGCCATCTATGTCCCAAAAAGGCAGCTTGATGTTGAGAAAAAATTATGGGGAGAAACCAGCGCAGAAGATTGCAAAAAATATGTCATTTTTAGGGACATAGATGGCTCAACTGCCCTTTTTTAAAGGGAGTTGAGCCATCTATCCCCCATTTTTTTTTTTGACATAGATGGCGCAACTCAAGATTCCGCGCCATCTACTTTGAGTTTCGAGTATGATGGGGCCTTGGCCTTAGCTGGTCTTTAACAGGGTTGTAAATCTGCCCGCACCGAAGGTGCCGAGGCGTTTTTTGTGTGCCTGCGTGAACCGTTAGCAATTGCATTATAGCTAATAAGCTTTAGCTTGGGGGGGGGGCATTTTTGCTCTAGAATCCTGTGTTTTTGCATGTTTTTCAAAAGTGGTCAAAAAAATTCTTGATCTGGGCCAATATAGGCCAAAAATGGGTCAAGATAGGCCCAACATAGGCCCAACCTGAGCCTAAGATAGGCTCACATGGGGCCAACATAGCCTCAAATGGGGCCAACATACCCTCATATGGGGCCAGGATAGCCTCATACGGAGCTAAAAAGTGCCCAATAAGTGCTAAAAAAACGTTCATTCCCGAATCCATTACACTTGGTGCGGTCGGTTTTCGTCGCGAAGCGACAGTGAATATTAGATGTATAACTAGGTTCTCGTCCAGCTGCTACTGTGATGTCCAAATATGGTGGCTGCTTTCACCCCAGGCCCAGCTCAGCACGGAAGGAATTTTCAGTGGGCTGAGCTATGGTTTATGGTAAGCTGATTTGGTCCCCAAGGGCCCCCCCATTGCAAACATCACATTTTTTTGTAAACATTGTAAAGCCAATGTTTAAAAATCCCATTTATGGAGATTGATCTTTGGATTCACCACATTTCATTCGATTTCATCCCCACACCTTCGGCGCTACGAAACACGACGTCAGGGCGAACATGCCACGCCTTTTCGATGTTGCAATGGTCCGAGTCTTTGCTACCGGTGCCATTGCAGCTAGGACCGGCGCTTCGCAGGGTGTCTTCTGACCCTGTTTCGGCCGTTACCAAAAGATGAAGTCTCTGTTCTGATGAGGACTTAACCAACCACAGTTGAGGACTTAACCAGGAAGAAACACTTGAGGATTTGGCAACGGAAATTGGATGTTGCCATGTGTCTCTAGAGTGTTCCGTTAGCTTCCAAGAAAGAGACCAGGTTGCGTCCGTTCCACAAAAAAACAAAAGGGGTGACGGGTAGCCACTATTTCATCACCAAAAGTTGATAACTATATGGTATTTCCAGCCCTAAAAATGGGAAATGCAACTGTGTAGTTTGTTACTATTGGTGGATATGTTACAGTACTAGTGATTACTGATGAATTGTCATTAGTTGTTTGTATTGCTTCTGGTTATTGTGATTAGTTTGTGTTACTTCTCATTAGTGTGTATTCCTAGTTGTTACTAGATATGATTGGTGATGAGTTTCTTTTCTGTATGAGATAATCATATGTAGAGTTTTTTGAGTCGGTACATCCCTATCATATGTATGAGATAATCCCTATAAGTTTGGAGTCGGTTTTTCTAGAGATGTTTTGCAGACAAAAAGTGGGACATCTTGAGACTTCTGTAGCGCCCCGCCCGACTTCTCGGCGCCCTGGACTTCTCGGTGAAGTCGTGACCTGAGGATATATTGTGGTGGTGCTATATATTGTGGTTCATATGTAACAAAATAATGTACATACATATACAATCATATATATATATATAGCTCAATCATATTTTCATATGGATGGTAATTCGATGATGTGTTACCCATAATATGGGGCAAAATGGAAAATCCCTTGTATTACTTGAGGCCGGGGGTGGATGACGAAAGCTAGCGGGGTAGGAGAAAGAAGGAAGGGAAGAGGTGAGTTGCGGAGGGACTGTCATCATCGTGTCGCGGCATTGTTCGTCCCAACAAGGATGCAGCAATGATATATGATATATGATATATAACAATGATATATATGGTGGAGGGGGCAGGGGGGGCCCTTTCGCGTGAAAAATCACGTGATGTCCTTGGGGAGCCCCGGAATACTTGCTGAAGCAAGTAGACTCTAGCGAGCTGACGCTAGCTTTCGTGATAATGCCAATCATTGCCAATAATGATAAAATGTAATTGAATAACGATGATGATGAATGATGAATGATGAATGGTGAATGGTGAATGGTGAATTCTTTCTGCTTTCTGCCCTGCATTTCTTATTTTTTTTTTTTTTTTTTTGCTTTTTCTTATTTTTTTTGTTTGTTGTTTTTTTTTTTGGAGTTGTGCGTGATTGGGGGAGGGGTCAGGGGGGCCCCTTTCGCGTGAAAAATCACGTGATGTCCTTGAGCAGCCCCCGGAATACTTGCTAAAGCAAGAAGACTCCAGCTAGCTGACGCTAGCTTTCGTGATTTGGAAAAATATGGGAAAATATGTATATGGAATCATGGTGAGGTACCCTAGACATGTATTTCATGGGTAAATGCCTGAATTTTGCACATCGCCCAACTATTATTGATTGAGTATGTTTCATTTCCAACAGACACGGCTGTTCAATTGATGTGAAACAAATCTCCAAAACAGGACATTTAACAACTCCTGTATTAAACCATATATATGTATATGCAGTTTTTGAACCATACATACAAGATTGCACCAAACCAAATATGTGTAAGATTGCACCATGCATACATACATATATATATATATGTATATATATATATTAATTAATGTGTGATATACATATACATGTATATACAGATACGGCTGTTCAAGTGAACCACATATATGTATATATATATATATACATATACACATATATACATATATACATATATACATATATACATATATACATATATACATATATACATATATACATATATACACATATACATATATACATATATACATATATACATATATATATATATACAAATACACATACACATATACACATACATATGTATATATGTATATGTATATGTATATGTATTTGTATATGTGTATGTATATTTTCCTGCCCTGCACACTGTCGGCCTCTCGAGCACTCCAGCACGCTAAGAAGAGGAAATAAGCTGATGCAATTCAGTTTCTACGGGTGCCCCCTTCACCGTTTGCCCATGGAAAAGACTAATGCAAACTGTCAGGAAGCGTTTGCAGGACACTCAGATCGTCCTGAAAGCTGTAACATCATCTTGGACCCACTTTCAAGATCAAGATTTCTAATAGAAAGGGCAGCAAGAAGAAACCAAACCTTATGGGGATGATAAAAGCTTATGTGCCCAAAAAAACCCGAAAGGCGACCAAACCCGAAATCGCTACAAATTGTGCTTTGGCTGGCCAAACATATTTGACACTCCTGGGCTTTCAAAAACAGGGTAGCGACAGCACGAAACTTCGAAACACTTTTACGGAGAGATCCTTGAACCAACCACGAAGTGTCACAAGGGCACATAGCACAGAAATCTAGAAGAACCAGAAGCCAAGGTACCTTTATACCAGCTCTAGTTGTTTCAAATGAAAGCGACGCAGTTTGAAAGTATCGGACAAATGCACCTGCCTCTGCAGATGTGAGTTTTGACTGAACCCCGCTAGTTGCAACCGTTACCTGCGAGAAATTGGATATGTGTATGTATATGTATATATGTGCAGTTCTTGAACTATACGTACAAGATTGCACCAAATCATACATGTATATTATTGCACCATGTATACATATGTATATATATATATACATGTATACTAGATATGATATATATATATATGAATATATATATATATATACATATGTATTGGAGGTATCTCGCAAATTCTTGAATACCAGGCACCTTTGGCACGAAGTATCAGGCACTCAAACGGCCAATGTGTCATCACCCAGTCAACTGGCTGAGGGTTAAACTCGGGGCCGCCTCGTCTCGTAGTGAACTCATGCCGCCTGGCGTGAGTTCATGTGGTGGTGAAGCAGAGTTTGTCAAACATACACATGCCTGGAACCTCAAACACCCATATATCTGGCTGGGTTGTAGTAATTCACTGACCTGAAAAATAGCTGAATCCCCTATACCTTCAACATATTTCACAAAATCATTTCAGTGACGTCATCCAGAGAAAAAAAAGGTGGTTTCAGCAACAACCATTCGTATCCATTTGTCTTTACTACCATACTGACACTATTATTCATGTTTGGTGGTTTGATATCGTGTGACGTACAGTAAAAAAAGTGTCAAAAGTCCAACAAACAATGTCCACAGATATTCAGGAATTAATGACAAAATCAGGTTGACCATGTCTGAAAATGACCGAAATGCTCGCGATTGTTGCCATGGTCCCTCTAAAGTTAGAAGAATCCAAACGGGTTTCAAGGGTGGTCGGATCGCCTTTCAATCTATATAATAGAGAACTTCACAAAGGACGTGTGAAATAATGATCCCTGGAAACATTGTCAATCCCATTCCCCAAACATGAGCTTCTCTTAGAAATGGGCCCCCAACTAGTGCTGCCATGCTGAGAACCATGAATTTTCAACTCTGGGCCAACTGGAAGACAGTCCCAGCTTCTGAACGGTGGTCATATCTTCAACATGTCCTATACCACCACATGATTGATATATATATATATATAGATATAGATATAGATATAGATATATACCACCACCTCCAGCAAATCACCCTATTTTGGTGGGCAAACCATGTTTCGACTTTTTTATCGCTTCTAGCCTCCACGAACCTCTCTTCCATGTCCTGGCAAAATGATGATGCGATACAAGGTGCTACCCCCAAACGTTATACTGGTATATATTGGTTGGTTTATGAACCCATCCAACTATTGTTACAATCACCATAAACCCCAATTATATTTGATTGATTGCGAGTATGCAGCTATGAGGCACCATGTCGTAAGGAATGAAACGACGATGAGAAACCTCTGGGAAATTTGGGAGAAACCTTTGGGGAATTTGGGTTTGAACCGTGAAACCAACGGCCGGAAGCCACATTGAAGCAAAGTGCCTGGAGGGCAATTTGTTGCAAGTACGCCGTTCCAGCTGTGAAGTTCCAAGAATAAATATGGATTGACCGGGAAATCCAAAAATAATCCCTACCCACTGCAGTGTACGTTTGTGGGCTGTTATGAATATATACAAAATATCAGTGTATATATATATATACCAAATTACCAATATATCAATATACCAAAATACCAATATATCAATATATCAATATACCAATATACCAATATATCAATATATCAATATCTCAATTTATCAAAATATGAATATACCAATATACCAATGTTTGAATATATATATATATATCAATGGTTCAATTTATCAATATACCAATTTATCAAGATATCAATATATAAATATATGAATGAATCAAAATACCAGTCTATCAATATATCAATTTATCAATATCAATATATCAAGATATCAATACCGTATATCAATATAATATATGTATAAATCAATATATCGAAATATAAACATATCAAGATATCAAAATACCGATCTATCAATATCTCAATTTATCAATATCAATGTATCAATGTATCAATATATCCATATGTATATATATATAACTATTCATCTATAATATATATATAGATATAGATATCTAAAGATAAGTATATATAGATATATATCTGCATATAGTTATATACCTTTGTATATATATACATATATATATGTATCTATTATAGATATATATATCTAGGAATTTATAGATATGTATCTAAGTATATATATATATCGTTATATCTATCTATCTATCTATCTATCTATCTATCTATCTATCTATCTATATATATATATGTCTCTATATATCTAAATATCTATATATCTATACTTCTATGTTTATATATATATATGTATATCTTTATACCGATATAGCTATATATCTACATGTCTATAGATCTAAATATATATATGTATCTATATCTCTATATCTCTATATCTATATATCTATATATCTATATATCTATATATCGTTATATCTATCTATCTATATATCTATATATCGTTATATCTATCTATCTATATATCTATATATATACATATCTATATATCTATATGTATATATATATATATATGTATAGATATATCTATATATGTATGTATATATATATCTATGTGTATGTATATATATATATCGATATATGTATATGTATATATTATATATATGATATATATATATATGTACATTTATATCTATACATAAATATATCTATATATACATCTATATACTATATACTATCTATATATATATATCTATATATATATATGTATTTATATCTATATATATGTATCTATCTATATATATATATATGTATCTATTGATTTAGGTGCATCTATATATCTATATACATTTATCTATATATATATACATATTTATATATCTTTTTCTATATATATATAACTATATATATATGTATATATCCATACATCTATATATCTATATATAACTATATATATATATCCACATATCTATATATCTATCTATCTATATATCTATATATCTACATATCTATATATCTATATATCTATATGTCTATATATATATATATATCTAAATATCTATATATCTATAAATCTATATCTATATATCTATATAAATAGTCTATGCGTATATCAATATATCATATACATACCTAGTTTGATTCTTCAGTGGGTCTACCAGATGAGCCTAGATGTTGTTTCTCGTCCTTTCTGTAATGCCACCAAATCAAGGAACGCATCATCTGTTTTCATGTCGTAATCGACATCATAATTTTTCAGCAACCAGCCACCCCAACTCCTCATCAAGTCTTGGATTGCCCCTGGATGCCACATACCTCACACAGGCAACTCGGTGCAAGGTGTGCCACGTCCAACTCACCCGAGCTGCACCCGCCTACAGCTGTTGCCCCATCGGGCAAACGCCTGACAATCGCGGATGTTTCTACACGGCAGGTGCACACCTGAGATCCCTGGTCTATTTCAGTGGTCACAGCGCATGTCTACAGACAACCATACCCAATGATTTCCTGCTTTGGGGCGCGACAAAATATATAGACGGTGCCAGGTTTGGGGTTTATCATCTGGCTTTACCAAGTAAAGTGGCCTGTCCCCGCCCTTGGTTTACCAGGATATAGTGAGCAACCTCCCCAGTTGCCATGAAACCGGTTGAAAACAGAAGGCAACAGCTGAATGTCTGATTGTTCGATTCTTGAATGAGCGCGGCGTAGCCATGATTAAACTGCACAAACAAAGCATTGCTGCATGATCAAGTTACTGTGTTTTTTTCTTTGACTCTATTCACATTCACAAAGTTACAAAGTTCCTCAGAAAGAACTGTTATGTGGCAAGCCCAGCATGCCAAAGCATCTCCATTTTTTTTATCAGAAATGGCTTGTAAAAACCATCCCAAACCATCCCCTTGTGGTGGGAGCTTTATGCCATTGAGGAGTTTACCCAGCTGAACCCAGCTGCTTTGTCTGAAAATGTAGAACAAATATATGGCTACCCTCTGGCACCTCTGGTTAACAGTTTGCCATGGAAAATCACCATTTTTAATAGGTAAACCCAGGTAAAGCATCTATTTCTATGGGCCATCTATACCATGGCTATGTAACAAATAACCAGAGGGTATGTATATATATATAGTCCATCCACTGCTTCATCATCATTTGCCATTTGCGTTTGTCTGAAAATAGGGTACCCCAAAATCTGATGCTTAATCATCAGTTTCCCCATTCAAAAGGCTAAAATAGGGGGTATACCGCTATACCCCATGTTCAGGCACACCCATTCTCCTTAATGATTCTTCATAATCTTCACATTTTCGGGCCATGAATTCATGAATGGGGCCTGCGACATCCGTCCACAGACCACTACCGTCAAGGCCAAACAACTCGCCGCCACCTAGGCACTGCAAGGCACGCCACATCTGGGGAGGCGCAGCCGACAATAAGTTTGTTGATCCCCTACTAAATTACTGTAAGTTTTTGTGGGTGATTAGTGAACCCGCACAAAACCCCAAAAAACACTAAACCTCTATCCATTTTTTTGTTGTACTTCTACTACTCATCTGGACTAATTACCAACCTGGAAATTTGACAAACAAAAAACTACTTTTGGGAGTGCCCCAAATATCATCTAAGGCGGTGTCAGCCAGGGTCATTATAATTCTAGAGGGAGCTCCATTGCACCGCCGCAGAAGCTATCTGAGAAGATTTGGGATCTAAAAATGTTGGGGAAACCCTAAAACCCACGTGGCTTCCTATCCGCTCCACCGGCACTTGTCAGCTGGGTCGTCTTGAAAACCCTCAACTGATGGAAAAAATCAAAGGCATCAACGCATCAACCTACCATTTGCCTCGGTTTATCGCACCATTGTATGTCTATTATGTAATATATAATATTATACATATATATATATATACGTACATAGTTTGTACAGTAAGTGCTTTAATTGTGATGGAATCAAGTCTTTGTTGATGCAACACGGCCACTTGGGTTTGGCTTTTTCTGCGGTATTCTTTTCCATTGCATGGTTTCAAACCTCATGTTCACGATTTCCTTCTATTGCCGTTCTGGGGTAGCCCTCAGTTCTGGACACATTCATGGATGATGTCCAATACAAAGATATAAAAAGCCACCATCTTTACCACGGATTGGCCATTTCCCACGTTGGATTCTGGGAGGCTATCCCCCATTGTCAAAGCCTATTTCCTTCACTCAGCAGTCACGGATGAAATCGGTCCATCTCTGGGCGTCAATGTTGTTCCCAAAAATCATCGTCGTACATCCATGTTATTGTTGGTTAAAATTTGATGTTACATGTTCCAAAACACCATCACTTCCACTCAACCCCACTGGGTTCCCCCTGCGACCACCAGCATAAAGGGGCCAGCGTGCGACCTCCCATGGTTTCCATTTCGCTTCCAGAAGAGGTATGCAGGTTTTATTCAAATTGGTTCGAATCCAAGCACTTGGGAAATTAGTCACTGCGCACTGTCACTGCTCATCTTTGGTAGTTTTGGACTCTTCGGGCTGAGATTCTGGATATAGACTGAGTTGACATCAGAAAATCACACCGAAAATCAAACCCCAAAGGGGTCAAAAAAATGCACTAACACCGAAGGAATGATGGCCAGTCAGCACCTTAGCTCAACCTACATCCCGGATATGGAGCGGGCCTCCATCCGCTCGCCATCCGCGTAAGCTTCACCTCATCATATCGTCCAGGAGGTCCGATGGAGATATCCATCTATGCAGGTAAATAATGGAACTTAAAGTAACGGAATGTAATGTATCTATGTTGTATATGAATGCCATTTTAGGGCGTGACCCTTTTTTGGACAAAGCCAGATACCCAGTTCAATGAAGGGCGCCTATGCCCATAGTGGGCTGATGGAAATCTCCATGTTCTTCATCGATGAAATCCACATGTTCTGTTTGTAGAAGGCAAGTTTGTTGAACCCCTGTTCGTGCTAGTAGAACCCACTTTTCTTATATTTCTTTGAAAAAAACTTGGCAACATCTCTGTTCTTGTTGGTTAAAACTCATGTTTTGTTCTCGGTGAAATCCACATCTTCCTTGGTCAAAAAACCATCCACTCCTTCCCCAAAACAGAATGCCCACCTCCCAAGCGCCCACCGGCAGGGCCACGGGGTCATCACATTCCTGGCGGAACCCGAAGCTCTCACCGGAAACCCGACTCAAATCCCATTAAGACTTTGGTTTTCAAAAATGATCAGAATGAAAATCCCATTAAAACCACAGTCTGACTGAATGAGTACTCCTGCTAAATCCCAATTCAAAAAAAAGGAACACAGCCTGACTGAATGGATATCCCTCCCATGCACCCTGTGTTCCTTTGAAACTGTTCAAATGATTCGACCGCACCAAACTCACGAAATCTCAGCTCCGACCGACCAAAGTTTGATGTTTTTCGGGGGCCTTTTAGGGTGTCGGATCCGGCAGATCGGAGCAAAGATCGGCATTTTGGATGTATCCCCATGATTATCCCCATGATATCCCAATTTTTGCTGCTTCAATCATGTTCAATCATGACCAATCCCAACAGTTTCATAGAAAAAACAGCAAATACCTCGATCCCCAAAAAATCCCGCCCTGGCCCTAGTCTTGGGCCATTAAACCACCATTAAATCACCATGACATCACCATTTTCTCAGTACGGTCCAGCTCTTTCCTGCCTTGGGCCCGCTGATGCTGTCAAGGGAAGTGATTGTGGAAGCCTCGATCTTGGGCCCGTTACACAGGGGGGAACATCAAAAATCATCCAACTGTTCTCATTTTCTGTGGGGAAACCAATGGTGTTTTGGGGTGCCCCAAGTTCTGGAAACATCAAAGTGGACTCACACAATTTGAAGCATTAGCAACAAAAATGCTGCTATGAAACCAAGCATCAATAAAATGGAGATTTAACCGAATAAGTTGCGTTTGTCTATTTCCACTATTTCAGGTAGTATATAAGACCAGCCATCTTAAGTGGATATAACAGAGATATCATGCGATCTTTCATGGCCTGTTTGCATGGAAAAATAAGCGGAAACTGGCAGGTGTTAACCTGCTGAAAGGATTGTTTTACACATGGGAACTCCTACAGAAACACTTACAGCACACCCCCCCTAACATAGGGTTTCCTATTTCCTTGCAGTTTTCCTCCATAAACTTCGCCAAAGGGCGTCCTTTCCATGCAGAGTGCACCGAAGTGACTCAGGATAGAAGGTGAAGTACATGCAATCGCTGGTGTCTTTGCAACCCCTCAGGCGGCTGCTGTTTAAAACTGCCATCCAAGGATGCCATCCAAGGATGTCCCCTGTGTGGAAAAGCCATGAAAAGCCATGGCGGTAGATCATCTTCCAGGGGTCTTCCCGTGGTTTTTCAACATCTGTGATTGTTTACCAAAGGCCAAAACACGGGGCTAAACTGCTAAGAGGAGCCAAGTTCCAGAACTTGGCGAACACGTTTTATCACGCAACGGTTTTGTTCGGCGATGAGCCCTAATACCACCAGGTAATTTCACATATCTATGGAAGCCATGGCCCATTTAGTTCGATGATTTACCCATTAAACATGGTGACTTCCAAAGCAAAGTGTAACAAATGACCAGAGGGTACCCGGGTACCCCAAACGAAACATGAAAGCCCGACGAAGTTTGGACGATGGTCCTATCCAATGAAGTGTCCAAGGCGCGCTTGGCATTCCACGGCATCCGACTTCACCATGAACTCCGGCACAACCAGTTCCTAGCTTGCTTGGTGGTATTGAAACCCCTGGAAACCCACTAAACAAACCTGGCAATGAAAAACTCTCTGCTCTAAAATCCATATTTTCCACCACAACATTCTGGGCTCATCCAGACAGATTAGGTCAAATTCAGAGGATACATCCCCCGTTTTTCGGGAAAAACTCCCAGTTTTTGGTCCAGGTGTCATCGCCCTGTCTGGCAACCTTGCTCTTGGCGCAATTCAAAACGGTGTCCAGTTGCATCTCCTTCAAACTCACCTGGGCTGCGGGACGCAAAGCCATGGGAGTGTGGCTCCATGGTTGTTTCGCATCCTGATGATTGGAATATATAGCTGGTGTACCATTGGTAACTGGGATTAGTCATGGGAGTTTAAGACGGTGAATCCTGACATGGGGAAAAGAAGCCATTTCACTGGGGATATGGGGATTTTTCGATGGGGATTGAACAATTCATCCTGCAGGATTCAGCCACAACCGATGCCTGGGATGCCCAAAAAGTCACGTTTTTCCATACCGTTGTTTCTGAGGACATCGAAATCGTGGTGGAGAAGTCCCAGTTTCGGATATCCCACACATATATATATATATGAGGTGTCCCAAGAAAACTACTCACCTGCAGCCAATAGAGCATGGGCCGACAGTAATTGTCATGGTTCAGCTCTTTTTGAGACCTTATCTCGCGCAACGATGTCCTCAGATATGTCTTACCTTTTAGTGTGGTCTTTGTTTCCTTCTCATGTTTGTGAACTCATGGCTTATGGTCATCATAAACCAATAGGTACCTCTCATCTAGCTGAATTGTGATGTTCACCAGCCTGAAATTGGGGATGATTCTCCGCATATAAACCAACTGAAGTTGTTCCAATCGACCCAGAAACCCATGTTTGCTTGTGAAACCATCCGTTTCAAATGCTAATGTCAGGCTATCATGAACTACCAACTGACAAGCTCCGCAGTTATTCCATTTAAGTACTATCTCCATATGACACATAGCACATATACATATTGTATATCTGTATGTAATATATATATATATATACATATGTATGTGTATATATATATATAGAGTGTGTATGTAACATTCTATATATCATCAATGATCTCCCCACTATGGTCACCTGGTGCCTTCCAATCCCAAGGTCCCAAGGCACAGGATGCGGCTCGCCGCAAGCCTTTGGGCCCGCAATGGCCATGGCGCTCTCAAACTCCGTGGCATTGGAGCCCTGCAGCCAGCAGGCCTACGGAGCGGCAAAACCATGGGACATGGCATTTTACCATGGTTGGTGATGGCATCCGGATGATATAGATATTAGATATAGATAGATAGATAGATAGATAGATATAGCCAAATGTATCACTAGTAATGGAATATTATAGCCAAGATAGGAAGTTCTCGCCAAATGATGCCAAATGTACCATTAGTCACTGGGATTAGTCATGGGAGTTTAAAATGTGTTGAGAATATGTGATATGATGAGAAAAGAAACCATTTCACTAGGGATATGGGGATTTTTGATGGGGATTCAACCATCAATTTAATTGGATGGGCGGTTCCATGGGGGTATCATGGGATATAACCACATTTAGGATCCTTGGGGAAACTAAGCCACTAATCCAACTGAGGTATACCCTATAAAAGTCCCATTCCTGGGAAGCACATCTTAAGAGGAAAAAATGATGATACAAGTGGAAGGGTTAAGTCATAGCATTTCGTTTTAAGTCATTGCAGGGGGCTTGTTTTCGCATGGAAACGCTGCGAACGTTTTAAGTCATAGCAGCTCCGTTTAAGTCATAGCATTTTTATGGTTTCATCATGGCAACGCGTACGGAATGCAATGGGTTTTAGTATCCTTGTTGTTCTGTTTAGCATGGCCTGACGGTGAAAGGTATATGTCCAGGGCATGTTTTGCACATATGTTTTGTGTACAAGTTACAATGGAAACGCGCGTTAA